TCTAAAATGAAAGAAAAAATAGGGAGAGGAGTGAAAGAAGCAAGAGAGTCAATGGAATCCTCAGTTGCTTTACCTCCTTCAAGAAGAATAGTCCAGGTTCGTGAAGTAGTGATTTCGTTTACCGAGTTCAATGAAAGCAAAAATAGGTCATAGAGTCAAAGGTTTAAGGTTGAGTCTTGACTTTCGAATTACCTCTAACCCTAAATACTGGGAAAATAACCCAAAAAATAGGGAGAGGCATCAAGAAAATCATTAATGGTCCTTACAGGAGAAAGAGTGAAAGAAGGAAAAGGTTTAGGGTTGAGGTTGAGTAAGTAGGGAGAGGGGAGAAGCTGCGAGACGGTAAAGGAGAGGGGACTGAAAGCTTACCTTATTATTATGAGAATTTGGAAAAGGGGAAAGGTGCTGCTTTGGAATGTGGTCTGGGTCTGGGTCTGTGACATCAAATAACCAGCAATCGAAGAATGAGCCAAAGAGCATGAATCTAACTAGTTGATGGAGTCTAATTCAAAGAGTTTTCTTCGCATTTGGGCAGCGACAGCCCTCCACCTGCCTACGTAGGCACTGAAACTTTCATCACCTTTCTGACTTAGAGCCTCGAGATCAGATATTTTTGGTTTGACATCTAAGTTGTAGGAGTACTGATCGATGAACGTTTGTGATAATTGCTCAAACGAGGCTTACTTAGAATGAGATAGTGACGTAAACCACCATTTCAGCGCAGGGCCCCTAAGACTCTTCTGGGACAATCAGATGACAGTCCCTTCGTCTTTCTCTAAAGGGCAGACATCGGCACAATAGGCTTGTGGATGAGAGATGAGACAACATTTTCCGTTGTCTTTTTCAAATTCCTTTTCACCGTGTGCAGGATAGATAAAGGGAAAAATCCCTGAATTTGGTGGAAAACCCGCCAATGCCTTGCATTTTCTTCCAAAAATCCTTAACTTTTATTTATCCGCATACTCGTTCATCCCTGCTGGGGGAATGAGATTTGCCCATAAGCTAGAGGGGCTAGGTGGTTGGAGGTGAGCTAAAGTGGAATGACAGAGATTGGATGGCCTGGAAAGCTGGGTAGGGTTTGGGGCGAGCTGTGGGCTACATTAGATATGGGTTGAAATGGCTAGAGCTGAGATAACGATGATGTTTGGGAAGAAACCCGATGGTGCCGAGAATCGAGGAATGACAAAGTACTCCTTTCGTTACGGGGCTCATGGAGTAGCGTATTTCGAAAGAGGGGCCAAAGAAAGATTCCAATTTCGGGACTTAGTTTCTGCATCATGATCCACCTAATATAGGTATTGGGAATGGCATATGGATTTTGAGAATGAATTGTTGGGAGGGGATGTGGATTTATGAAGGCGGATATGGGAGAACTAATGTTCGGAGGATTGTAAGAAAACGAAGGAGCTACTTGGGATTGGAGGAATGCCGAACGCATTGCAGACATGCCGGTGGATATGGTTTCTACTTCTTTCTTAGATTATTCTTCCCATTATCTTCTCTAACCTAGTCAAATCAAGTATAACTGATTCCGAGGTTGTCGTGCTGACCGTACTAGTGTTGGGGGTGAGAACCGGTGTCAGCTCCCCCTCCAACTCTTCTGACCGCTCCGAGATCGAGATCGAATACGGATAGGGCTTTGAGTTACCTGTAGTCTCTTTCGCACCTGATTCTCAAATTCAGGTTCCGTGATGTCGAATTAGGATTGAAACCTAGTTTTGACTCAACGCAGACGTTGGCGCATCACTTTGACATAAGTTACATATTCGCGCGAAGGTGTAGGCCAATTTCAGGCTCTTTTTCAATCTCAAATCATTTCTTCAGTGAACCCCCGGACAAAACATTGGCTAAATTGATTTCATTCGCAAGAGAGGGCTTCCGGACAATCGAGGTATCAAAGATCCTCATTTTGACCGTTTGCTACTTTTCTTTCTTTCAATTGTTGGGGGTTGCCCTCCGTTGGTAGACGAGTTGCTCGTGGTTTACTTAATTGGCCATAACGGTCGGCCGACCTTCTTTCCTTTATGAGTGAGTTTGATAAAAAGACTAAACAAAGGGCTTTCGAGCTGCTCTTTCAATTGCCGCCTAATCTCCCAATTGCTTAGTTTAGCTGCTCTTCAGCTTTCGAGAACAGGGCGTACTACTTCTTGAGAGAAAAGACTAAAGAACCTACTAAAAAGAACGGGGGACTGATTCTGACTGAAACAAGGTGATAAGAAAAGGAACCACTACAAGGGGAGTAAGATTCAGATTACCTTGTTGATCGAATATCTCAAGGCAAGAACATTGTTTGAGATTCGAATCACTCCACAAGCAAGATCGATCATGTCTAGCTTGAATGATTCTTGTTGATCAAATATCTCAAGGCAAGAACACTTCCATGAGATTCGAATCACTCCACAAGCAAGATCTCATGTTGAGCTTGAATGATTCTACATGCAACCTAAACTACATAAAATTGCAAAGAAACTTAGCCATTGGCTAAAGAAGAGCACAAATGCTTCTTTTTACTATATTTTTCAAGTCTCTTACACATACAACATACATGGCTTTATATAGCCTCAAAATGAAACTACTAAAGTCATTCCAAGAGTTGTAACATTCATACCTAATGACCATAATTAACCATTATGTAATTGTAACCTATAGTAAATAAAGTCTTAAAATACATAAATGAAATATAATAACTCTAAATTGTAACCCACCCAAAATTTATAACAATCAAACTTCATTCTTCTTAAATGTGGCATGAATTGAAAGATCTTTTGATAATTTTGACAACCTTTTCTTCACATCTTCATTGAAGTATATTGTATGATTGATGTCTTTTGGTTCATATCACAAGGCCAACTGCAACTCGATTGGAGGAAAGGGCTGCGAGGTAACCCCAAAAATTCCAGCTAGTTTGGGTTGGCACTTTTCATTCAGAAATTCATTCGTTCGAACAGGTAGGGTTTTCCTTCTTTTTGCTTTTCATTCCATCAAGGTCTTTTGAGAAAGAAGACAAGGTAGCTTGCTTACTTAGGGCTTGTGTGTCGGAAGAGGTCTTTCTTTGTTTGTTTGTTTTCCAAATTCTCTCTCTCATGAGCAACCCGGTCACGTTTGTTGAGCTCCTTCATCCATGTTAAAAGCAAAGGGTATACTAATCAAAGTCATTCAAATTGGTGGGATTGGCTTCCTCCTTGTACTAGGACGAGGCTTAGTTAAGTAGAATCGTCGCTTGCTCGACGCATCCTTTCTTTCAACCTTATTAGCGTAGCTCGAGTAGGTAGGACCAGTGAATTTCCCCCCGGTTGTTGATGTAGTTGCAAGAATTTAGCTTGCTTTGATTTTGATTGAGTTTCTAGAAAGAATATATAACGTACTGCATTACATAGTGAAGGAGAGAGAATCAATCTGAAGTTCAGTAGTATGCCCGGTTCACCAAGTTCTACCACAGCAGGGCCCAATCATACTCTCTCTCTGAGTTTGATCCTGGCTCAGAAAGAAGGAACGCTAGCATTATGCTATACACATAAAAGTCGAACGTTGTTTAATAAAAACCTGCACCCCAGATGCAGAAAGCTCTTTTTTATAGAGAGAGAGTCAAGGGGGCTGGGCGATTCTGTAACCGCAGGCAGCTTAGACCCGACAAGATGATGGCCGCGCACGAGACCACTTGTTGAGTCGGGGGATGCGAACCGGCCCTAAAAGACCTTCTGCGCTATCTTAAGGCGAAAAACTTCCATTTTGAGACCGCGACCCATCAGCACTTTCTCACTTCTTTAGTAAGATCAGTGTTCAATTCTCCAAGACTCTTTCTCTTTTTTCAGGGCTTGGGTACGAGAACATAATGTGAAGAAATCAGGGTCAAAGTTTAGACCGCTCACACTAGTTCGACCTATAGAAAAGATCATCAATCAGAGAGGAGACAACTCATTTATGATTCCAGCCGAGAAGATTAGTAAAAGGAGAAGGATCAAGAATGTCATATATTTCAGGAGCTAGATCAGTTACCGATAAACAAGTCAGAATTGCCTCAACCAAAATTGATTGAATTGGACCTAAAAAAGCCATTCAGGTTCGTTATCGATTAGGTATCAGTGGGAACATCAAGATCAAAGAGTTAACTAAGTCTCAGATCGACCAAATTGAACAAATGATAGGTCAAGATCACATTGTTCATTGGGAATTGAAGAGAGGAGAACGAGTAGACATCGAACGATTCATTTCTCTTTCTTGTTATCGTGGAATTCATCATCAAGATGGATTGCCCTTACGCAGTCAACGAACTCATACTAATGCTAGGACTTGTCGCAAGCGAATTCGGAAATGAAATCAGTCTACCGAAAGCCCTTGGTACTTGTCGGATCAATCACACAGTTAAATAGTTCACTTCAATTTGGCGTCTTTTGGTATTTCAGCGGTTACTAATCTAGTATACGTAACGTATGCCTCCTTCGCCACTCCATTAGTGGCTCGGCTTCATCCTAGATGTTACAGCTTCTGCCTCTCACGGATTCACTATCGCTCATGACTGGTATATGGATCTCTTGATTTATGTAGTGGTCGGCCTGATAAAAGCTAAGCTTGGCCAGAAAGAAGCTACTAGTCGCTTCCCGAATGCCTGCCTCTTGACTTATGGTTTAATCTGATTTCCAATGCCTCCTTCCCTTCCTTGCCGCCAACGGAGAGTAAGCAAGCGACCTTGCTTGCATTCGTTAAAGGGTAGCTTCTGCGCCCTTACTGCCTGCTTCAATTGATGTGAATGAGAGTATCTTCAAATCCTATTTAGTCTTTTTCTTTCTCTCTGTCACTGAAACAAGAAGTTCTGTCTCTGTTTTCTTTTCAGATTCCGAGGATGAGCCGGCCGATCCTAACATCATTTATGAGGAGCCAGACCACGAAGTCTCCTCCTCAGATAAAGATGTCTCCGATGTGACTGGCAAAAACCACTTTTTCTATTGTGATTCTTTTTGCGGGTTCGGTCAGGTAATAGAAGCGAAGGAGAGATGCTTTCCATCAGTCAAAAGCAGATATCGCCCACCCATGCTCCCCAAGTCCGCTTACCGAGGAAGAACTGGAGCCAGAGCTAGTTGGGTTGGGGTAAAGAGCCGTAAGCGCAGTGGGGGGTGACAGAGGACATGCTCGTACAGTTCAAAGAAGGGTATGATCAACTCGTTGATTGTTGGGAACTTTCACTCCTCTATATTCGAAATATGCTTTCTAGAAGCATTACGATCTGCAGCTCAAATGGTACCTTATGAAGTCTCTATCGGTCTGATTCTTATTGTGCGCCTTGTGAGCGCGTTTGGATCCGCGAAGGCAATCGCTCGGATGTTCTCCTAACCCAACCCGGGAACGGACTGGAAGGAATCGCAGCATTGGGAATGTTCACATCTCGTCGCAAGGCTCATTTTGAGTTGTGGGTCGGGGGTTTATCTAATCAAGGGCCGGGGCACAAGGGTCTTGGTACTATCCAGGTGCGAAGAACCACGGGGGTGACTGCAATGAGTAGAAATCTCACTTACCGGCCTAAACGACGAGCAAACACTCGAACGTGAGAGTAAGGGATCACCCAAGGAATGGACGAGCTCCAAGGAGGGAGGCAAGAACCATGCTTTCAGAGACTTAACCCAACCCAACGGTCCCGAATCTTATCTGAATTGCTAGAATAACTGACTAAGTCATGCCTATATATAGGCTCATTCTCCAAACGGCGCGGGGCCAAGCCTTTAGGTTGTTTAAGTAGATTGGGTGAAAGATCGGCCATAGACGATGCCGCCCGTTTTCATTTCGTGGAAGTCCCCGCCAGAGAAAAGAAAGGGCTGTAGGTGATGGTGAGTTCCGCTTCTTATCTAGAGAGGGAGTAAGGAGTAAGTAGCTCGACCGATAGGGAGAGAGAGGGGTGAAGCTGTGAGACGAGAAGAGGGGCGCTGAAATCGTTCCTATTGGATTTGGTCGTGCGCGGCAGCTGGTAGAGATGAATGATGAATAAAGGCGGGCCGCTTCAACGGGACCTATTCTCTTAATAGGCGGCAAAGTAGAATAGGAAAGGGGCTGAGTGATGAGTGCCTTTTTAGCCTTTTTCTAAAGACTCTCATGTGAAGCTAACATGGCTCGCTACATACAAGTATAGCCAAAGAAAGATGAGACAGGACAGACGGTCAGAGGCTGTAGCAGGACTACCATAGGAAAGCCCGCCCCCTCTCGCTAACATAGAAAGTGATTCCCATAACTAGTCTCTATGTGAATCTCTTCTCAACCAGCCGAATCGGGCCACCATTTGGGGTGGGAATGTCTCAGCACACATGCATCATTTGATGAAAGCACTCCAGTCCAGTTGCCTCCTCGTAGTGGCTTGTCAACCATGCTTTCCCTCCCTCAAAACAATGCTCCTCACCAAAAGCCCTTGGGGCAACACAGCAATGAGTAGTTCGCTCCAGGACTCCACCCCCTCGAGAGCAGGATGCCGGCCGAGATAGAGCTGGAAGCCAACCTAGACTTTCCTGGGGCTTGTCCCAACATCTAAATCAAATTGTTGGCAGGCTAGAAAAGGAACCAGCCCAGCCTCGGAAATCAAGCTTTGCGTGGTATGCCCTGCCTATTCACTCGGACAATGCTATGAACACGAAAATGTGCAGTTCCGCCCCCTTCTCCCATGCTGAGTCACAGGCAGTGCCACGGAAAGCACGGACGAGCCACATGCAGGGAAACTTGCACGTGTGGTTCTGGTCGGGGACCCTGGTATACTGTACTAATATGTGTAGGTCCCCGTAATTCGAGTGAGATTGTCATCGTGCAAAAGAAGATATGGTATGGTATTCCCTTGTTCCCTGTATTGGTTATGTTCTTTATTTCTCGTCTAGCAGAAACTAATCGAGCTCTGTTTGATCTCCCAGAAGCGGAAGCTGAATCAGTTGCAGGCTATAATGTAGAATATGCGCGGGATGCGATCCTTAATAGTCCACTGTTGGCGGAAGCCAATGTCCTGGGGTCCCGGGGATTCATTCTAACTGAAACAAGGGGTGGGGTTGATAAGATATGGAACCACTACAAGGGAAGTAAGATTCGGATTACCTTGTTGATCGAATATCTCAAGGCAAGAACATTGTTTGAGATTCGAATCACTCCACAAGAAAGATCGATCATGTCTAGCTTGAATGATTCTTGTTGATCAAATATCTCAAGGCAAGAACACTTGCTTGAGATTCGAATCACTCCACAAGCAAGATTGATCATGTCGAGCTTGAATGATTCTACATGCAACCTAAACTACATAGAATTGCAAAGAAACTTAGCCATTGGCTAAAAAAGAGCACAAATGCTTCTTTTACTATATTTTTCCAGTCTCTTAAACATACAACATACATGGCTTTATATAGCCTCAAAATGAAACTATTAAAGGCATTCCAAGAGTTGTAACATTCATACTTAATGATCATAATTAACCATTATCTAATTGTAACCTATAGTAAATAAAGTCTTAAAATACATAAATGAAATACAATAACTCTAAATTGTAACCCACTCAAAATTTATAACAATCAAACTTCATTCTTCTTGAATGTGGCATGAATTGAAACATCTTTTGATAATTTTGACAACCTTTTCATCACATCTTCATTAAAGTATATTGTATGATTGATGTCTTTTGGTTCATATCATGGGTCTTTACCAACTTTCAAATATTCGCGATTTGAGGGAAGCCAAAAAAAACCTCACGAACCAAGGGATTGAGCAGTGCGAAAGCCACGATCAGACTCTATCTAATAAGGGCGTATTAGAGTGGCATTAGCGCCCCCTTCCCCCTACCCCTAAACAAAAAGGTTTTTCAGAAAGTTGTCTACGCCTTTTGAAAACCTGACTAATAATAATAATCAAGGGCAAAATGCGCTCAAACAACCAACCTATCTGACTAATAAGAAGAAAGAAAGAAAGGGCCCTATCTAAGCTCTCTCGTTGTAAAGCTACAGCTAAAAAGCCGGCCTTACCTTCTATGTTTGTTATTAGTAAAGCCTAAAGCCCTTGACTAATAGAAAGGTCAATCCCTCCCCTACGACACCAAAAAAAAACCAGGCCGAACTTCTACACGCCCACTTCCATAGAACAATATCGTGGCAACGTAGACCTAAGTGGTCATATTGGATCCTTGAGAACCATCACAAGTATGGCCGGCCTATATTTGAATGAGAATGTCGTGTCGTCCAGCAATGCCTAGAAGAAGGTGACTCTGAGCAGACAGTTGACTCCTTTTCAATAGAAAGGAATAGCCAAACCAACCCAGCTGGCTAGTCAATCTCAAAGATCTTATTTGCCGACAAACTAGAGACAGACGACCACGGTCCCGACCTTACCAGCACTGGAGGTTTACTAATCAATGAACCAACGAAACCTACTTTCTTTTCTGACAAAATCAACCAAGCCTAACCGGTCACGACATCTTGTTGATATTGATTGAGTTGGACTTTCGTTGACTGAATCCATCCATAAACCTAGACCCCGCCAACCTTCGTAACCAAAGCGTCACGACAACATCAAAAGGGCACTTTTCAATTCTGAAGTCGGTGAGCAAGGAGGAGCACGTAGGAATGAATGTCGACCACTACATAAATAAGCCACTTGTGGCTGAGAGAAAGGGAGCAGCACCTTGTCTTGTACTAGCTAGCCTTTTTTCGCTGGTTGCCTGTTAGTTGTAGCGCGTCTTCCCTCCTTCTCTCACTTCGGAAAGATTTAGCAGCATTTCCACGATATCGTTATGATCAATTAATGGGACTTGGCCGGAAAGTGTTCTTGCCTCTATCATTAGCTCGAGTAGTCGCCGTTTCTGGTGTTTCAGTCACCTTTCAATGGCTCCCTTAATTATGTGCGAGGAATTTCCCTCGTCGAGTAATGGGAAGCGGACTAGTCCCCGAAAATGCCCAATCCTTTGTCATTGGGGCCCAAAATCTTCCTTGCTGAGACTTGACTTGTAGTCTTGCTACACTACACGACACGAGTGACGGGTGAAGTTGAAGCAGACACTGTCAGTATAAAGAATCTTTCTCAAGCTTAGGTACGGGCGACTCAGTCACATATGCTCGACTGAATATGCAGCCATGGAACTGCTAAATCCGAGACTCCAGTTCCGGTCAATCGTGCTTGTCAGCCTAAATCACCCTTTGGCGACCCGACTGAACAAATGCGGTGACGCGACTTGTGTAGCGAGGGGTTTTCCACAGTGGAACCTGTGTTCAGTCTTTGAATAGTGGGACGTTCTCAATTCAAAGTGGACTTTGGGATCAAAGCCTAGACCAAAGAGGGAGACTCATCGGGTAGGAAATACCATCCTCAGCTAAACCAAGCCCCGGGTGGTAGCCTAGTCGAAGAAGTTGAGCCACAAGCCCACCTTTTTCTAAACAACGTGGTCTCGAGGAGGAACCCTCATTGCGAATTTCATGTGGGATATCCACCAAAGAAAGGATACCAAGAATGGTTGTGGATCAATACAGGATCGAGGAGAAGGGACTGAACGTCGAATGAAGCTTGGGTTGACGGGGGCGCTATCAAGGTAGAGACATCATCTGTTCATGGGAAACTTGATAATGATATGATATGAGGATGCCACAACCAAGTTGGCGTGGATCCAAGGTCATTCTACCAACATTTTTTATTGTAGTATATCCGCTACATGGAATAGAGTTGACCGAACAAGGGGTCCCACTTAGAGATTCAGTCGAACTACTATACCTTGCGCGGTTCGAGGGGTCCTGTCATATGCACAAGCAGTTGTTGTGAGGAGCAAACCTTTCAGGGTCCAAATTCAACTGCCTGGCTGTACTCAATATGCAAATATGAAATCCTGCACTAGTTTCGATCGATGATCCTCTTTATTTGGTAGTGGTCAACTAAGGGCTCCACATGCAGGGGTCGAGTATGGGGATAGCGGTCAAAATCCTTCTGAATTCAGGTAATTTGTTGGGAAGAAAATAGACAGCCCACCATAGCTTGCAAACCCTCACTCAGGTGAAATGGAAATAGGAGCGCTCGCTTGTGCTAGCCTTTTGCAGCCGGACTTGTGAAGTGGACAGAAGTTCCATAATCGAGATCAGGCAGGAAGATTTTCTTCAACAGGTTGGGTCTGTAGGAGATATAATATAAAAGGATGGCT